TATAGTTTGTTTTACATGTAAATAACGTGGCAGAACGCTATTACTGACATGTAACGTTAGAACTTAGACCAGTCGGTCAGTGGCATTCAAATAGCGAGAGGTTAGATATTCGTGACATATCAAATAACATGACACTCGTTTGTGGTCTTATATACGTATTGTTGAAATAAAACATTTACACTGAATAAAAATATATAAAATATTAAGAGAAAACAAGAAAGCATCACTATGACTGGTATTTTTATTAATTTAAGGCTGATGGTTAAATTTTTGCTTAATTTGAACCTTATCTAGAATTGCTGTATTATGGCTAGTATTAAAATAAACTTCACAGGTCTCTCTGCCGCCATACATGATACAGCCACTGAAGGGAGAAATAGAACAAACGGATATTTTTGGAGTTAATTTGTGCTTACTCAGATGTTAAATCTACTAATATAGTCTTCAATAGTAAATAATTTTGCTATTACAGAACGCATGCATATTTCTACAATCATAACGTAAGATCACCACCACATATGTGTTATACCTCGTCTAGTTATAGTTATAGTCTAGTTATAGTCTTCGTTCATTTTATCTATAGGTACCAATATTATAAAGAGGTAAAGTTTGTAAGTTTGTGAGGTTGTAGGGGGTAATCTCTGGATCTAATGAACCGATTTAGATGAAATTTGGTAAGAAGATACTTTTTATCCCGGAAATCATTTCTTAAGAGTGTGAAAATAGGGATGAAAGTTTGTATGGGGAATAAACCTATGTTAAACGCTAGTATGAGATAAAGCTTATTAAAAAAAAAAGATTCACACATTTTATTATATTTGACACTTTTTTCTTTAACATTTGTTTTTATTAGTAATCGATTAATATGGGTAAGGTCGTGGTGACGCGGTTCCATACGACCCATTTCATTAATCATAACGGGATTTCAAATTCATTTAACTGTTACTTATTGTCAAGTAATAAAATAAAATTGACGTGTTACTTGTGGGCGTACTTTGATTTTATCTTGAAGTGGAATAAATGGAGTGTCTCGCTTTAAATACAATGTAACGTGTTTGACCCTGGCCAAGTAGTTTATTAAACTCTGTCCCTCATATTTTTTTGCTAACTTTGAATCAAATATGCGACTGTCTTTGATTAATATGAACTTAATTAAATTGACGAACGAGCTAATTTAAAGGAAAAATATTATTTCTGTTTGTCCAAACTAATTTGTCACTTCAAATCGATTTCAAAAAGCTCTAGCCTAAAATTTCTATATCAACATTTTAAACTCGATAATACGATAATAATAATGTAGTTATTTAATAAATGTTCCAAAATCCTAAAAATAATTTATTATGTTCGATATAACAAAAGAATTCTATTTTCTCAGTATCGTGGTAGCTTTAGTATTGTATTTATTTATCTTTGTGTTTTGTGGAACAAAAACCTACATCCTACATAATGTCGACTGCAAAATACAATTTAAATAACAAATAGCACAGATAGAATATAAATAACTTAATTAAAACGAGATTCAGTCTATAGATTCCTTATAACTAAGTAGGAACATATACAAGTAAGCACAAGTGTAGTACTTTTATGATTTTATACTACCATATAGGTTTCGCTTAGAAAAAGCGCATAATACACAATTAGCAAAGTTAGATAAAGCTTTCAGTAACAATTTAGTTATGTTTTTACTGAACTTGAACAAGATTTTCATGCAATTCTTATTGGTTTCTTGTACTGGAGCTAGTTTTATAGATTGTAGCTGTTGCATCATAAGGCAGGACAAAGGCTCGAAGGACCGCATTCCGATCCAAGGCTGTATATCATAGATAAACACGTATAGCAATTAAAGACGTAGTGTATAAAGTCATTAGAGCCCAAAGTAAGTTCAAAATAGATTAGATGAGATTATTCAAATATAATAATTAATTTGTATAATAATTAAGATGTAATCATTCGAATTCAGTTATCATATTTTTATACGCTATTTTTTAGACACTATAATTTGTATGTAAATCATCCTTCAAAATATATATTTTTTCTAAAATGTGTGTGATTAGTATGAAGATCTAGAATATTTTGTTAGATCACGGTTGATCGTTGACAGAGCGAGTGAAGCGTCTCTGCTTCAAGTCTTGCAAAATTTGCTTTCCTGTGTCAGTTTGTTGGTACTCCTCTACAGGTATGTACGTACGTACGTATGTACGTACGTATTTAACAACCGATCTGGACGAAACTTGGTATGCAGGTTTTACGACTTTATAGATTTTTTTGTCCTAATATTTATGTAACCGATTATGAATATCAAAAATACCTAATATGTACCTTTAACTCCATATGTAATTTTTAATCCGCAATTAAAAAATCACATGAGATTAAAAATAAGCCAGAATCTTAGGCTAGTAAGAAATGCACGTCGTTAATTTTACCTAAAAAAAGTAGGTATAATATTAAATAAATTCCCGTGACCATGAATGCTGTAAAGCATTCGAGACGTCGGCAACCCAAAAATCCAAATAAATCCGCGAAAAAATCCGAAAAGATAGTTTTATTTAAAATGTCAAATATTCGCGTAAATCTAAGAAAGTATTAAATATAATAACTGGCTTTTACATATTACCTAAAAAGGTGTTCTTTGACTTCGTAAAATCTTATACCGTTTATAAGGTATGAGTCAGATACCGGAAACCTTTTAGCATAAGGGTCATACTCACGTCCAAGTGACCGCATTCTTGTGAATTTTTCATTAAAAGTGTTGTTCACTTAATTATAACTTTAAAATTATGAATTTATTGATGACTCAGGCCATCCCCGTTTCATATAGTTGCGTTTCTAAATATCTTTTTAATATATCCGACGAAAACCTCCTCCTTCAACTATCTCAAAACAAACCACGTCGATTCATTGCTTCGTGACAGCGTATACCTATTGCATATTATGTTTGCACGTGATTACAATTTTTCATTCAATTCAATGTTCTTATTAATGACTTCAAAGCGTGCCAGTTAACCGCAACTTACTTCGCTAAGGTAACGTAGAATGGAGAAGATACAAAGGAGATATTAGTCAACATTTTTTTATTAAATTAAAACCATAAAACCCCATATAACAGCTACCTCGTTATATTTTCTTAATGATGGACTTTTAAAGGCATACTTGGCATAGATAGAAGATCCTCATCTTCTATCTTTGCTACATATTAACAGAATCATCAGATTAGCTCAAAAACAAAGCAAAGAAACAGCATTATTTCAGGTTAATAGAATTGGTATTAAAGAAAAATGGTCAATATGAATTAAAAAGAAGAAGAGACATGGGTTTGACTGAATAAGTAGATACTATTGTGAGTGTAAACTATACATATGTGTCCTCTTGGTACTTAAGGCATACCAAAAAATCCGCATTAGTGCATTGCGCATTACATTATATATGTAACTTTCCATTGAACGTTTAAAGAATACCAATAAGTGATTCTGGTAGTCATCAACACTCTTTAAATCCGGGTCATTCTATCAGTTATACAATTTCAAATACTTTATATTCAGTATTAAAGTTGTAAGCAATTTGGTTATAGTTAGACAATATGGTGTCAAGGCAAGGTGGGGACTCTATTGGAATAACAAACAGTGTGTGACAAAATCGCCTCATGGGTAATGGATAATGTATGACACATACATGGAGTATTTACGATTAGTATCTACTTGTGGCTTGTGTTGGTTTTTAAGGCATTTAATACCAAATGTTCAAGTTCTAAATATAAATATGAAATGGATAAATTCATAATTGAAATCAATTTTATATTATTATTATAAATAGGTTTTATCGGGTGATTCGCAAAAACAATAGCATATTAGAAATTTATAAAATTAAGGGGAGTGCTACTTAAAAGACTATGTAGTATTAAATTGTTACAAAATATCCTAATAATTTGATCTTGCTTTAATGTACAGTGTTTATTGAAAAGTAACAACAAGTCTATTTTAGATATGAAATATTTTCAATAAACAATTAATAAACGTAAAGTAAACATATGATGTAGCACACTATAGATTTCTCACTTCCAATCTAATATCAATAATGCAGAAATAAGATAAGCGCTTATCAATATCTCACTATCTTTTTTTTTTATAACCTACCAATGGACCTCCTTGTAAATATAAAATAATGCATGTTTATAAGTTATTTATTATACTAAGTTATTTACTAATTCATTTGTTATTTGTTTTGAAAAACATGTTTAGATATATTATATGGCTGATTTAGACAAGAAACATGAATAATTCTAAGTTTGATAACAATTTGTTCTTTTCATCTACATAATATTTTAAGTTTCCCATTATATTAAACTAACTACCTTTCAATAAGTATGAAATATAGATTAAATAAATATTAAGCACAAGATAAGATTGTTACAACATAATTCAAAGTACTTGGAAATGATTAAGCAACTGTAGTAATCAAATGATAACATATAATTTTCATTTTAACATTTCAATTAGGCAAAAGAAACATGTTTATTGATTGTATATTATTCATTGTTAACATTTATAAATATAATAAAATAAAGTGACTTTATAAAAAAATTAACATTAATATAAAAAAAATAACATTTAATCTAATAGGATAGAAAAAAATATTTTATAATACCTAATTTAATTATTTAATAAATAATTAGACTCTGGCAATCAATTACATTTTTTCATATTTAGGTTTTGAAATGAAAGTAAAAGGTATTCAAAGTTTTTCAAATTCGATATTTGAAACTACTAAGTTAAGGTTTTTTATGTAAATTTTATTAGCATTGCCTAATATCTCAGTTGTTTTCTTTACGACCACACGCGGACTCAAGGCTAAGCACGCTAAAATATACTCGCAAGTCGCAAGTACCATAAACGGTGTACAAAAACCGAAATATAGCAAAATGTGGCATGCATGATAATAGAAAGAGTGACACTCCGACATGCGCCTTAGTATACCAGCAATTGTTTTAAATTAATTGTACATACCTGTGAAAACTGTTCTCTGATTTCTGATAATTCTTCGTCGGTCAATTTTGAATTGTCTGCCATTGTCGCACAATTTATATCACATAAACAATCACAAACATCTACCGTAAATGTACAGATTTAAAAAGTAGTGGTAAATCACTGTCTCCTTATACTTACTAGTATAAAAAGGAATATAAAATCACAGTACACCTATTATTTAAAAAAAAGACGCACAGGATTTATCACAATTTCACAGTCTATAGTGCCTTACGGTAACGCATTTACTACGAAAACCCGAGTAACAAGTAGTAAGTCGACTCGATGCCGACGAACGACCAATGGACAGCTACCACTACTGTGAGTCATTTGCTTTTCGTTAAAACATCTAAGTTGCTATTTTATAATATTGATTTACTTAATATTTCCATAAAAATATAACAATATTAATTTTGTTGATAAAAAATATGAGTTTAGGTGTTCAATTATGTTTTTTAGTATTTTGGACGAGATTATTTTTTTTTAATTTTTGCTACTTGAAACATCGGAATTCCAATTATGATCATAGTTCATTATTATTTACATAGATGGCATTAGTTGTATTAAAGAGACATCTATTAGTGTTTACACTAATTTCAATTTATAATTCTGCTACTCCTCCCTAGAGGGCACTATATGTTTCTAGAAATTTCTCGAATTCTCAAATAATGATACAAAAGTCAGAAATGTCAAAAGAAAAGTTCGCTTTCTAAATATTTTTTAAAATTATTTTTTATAATAGATCATATCTGTACATTTTCGACATATTTTAGTTTAATTTGATTTCCTTAGTTTTGTTACCAATGATGATGGAAATAAATACAAGCCAATATGACTTTTAATTTGCAATCAAATAAAGAAATGCAGTATTTAGTGAACTAGAACTACAAGAAACTGAAAATTTTAAGTAAATATTCATTCCTTATTTTTTATGAACCCATTGTTTTTGAACCATAAAACTTTAATGTATATACTTATTGTGTTAAAAGTGGAAACTAGTAGGTCAAAGAGGTTCGAACCCTTTTTAAAGTCTAAAATCTTTAAATTCTGAAAGTTTTTCATAAAGAAAATACATACAAAGGGCACTGTAAAAGCGGTAAAATACGGATCCTTAAGATAATATTATACTGGTTCATGGGTAAATTAAAGACTTCTATTTCAATATTTTGATACTTTATATTAATTAATTAATTATAAAAAATTAATATATGAAAAAATATGTATGTTTAAAAATTAAAAATACAGCGTTTTAGAAATAAAAGAAAATAACTAAAATATTTTCATATAAATTAGAGCAAGATCTCTTAACAAACGTCAAGTTTTTGTTATATATTTAATAAAGCAGCCCCGACTTGAGCACCCCTGACGTTGAGTAGCAATCTCGAACGTTCCATTCTCGAACTTTCTGCACACAACCAGAACGTCGTATGTGCGCTTATATACGCTGTGCGAGCGCCATTTTGCATCAGTTCAAAGAGAGCATTCGTGAGAGAAACGTTGCGAGTATATTCTCTAAAGGCGCTAGACGGAAGACGCAAGATATATTGTTTATAAACTGTTACACCTGAAAAATAATTAACGGATAAAATGGCTCTACTACCGTTCCTGATAGATTACGAACTTGAACGTCCTCGCCGGCTGATCGACCAACATTTCGGTATGGGATTGACTCCAGATGATATGCTAAGCATCGTCGCCGGTCCTCTCAATCCCCCCATGATAAGCCAGGATTACTATCGGCCATGGCGTCACATGGCTGCTGCGGCTAGAGATCTCGGCTCCAGCATCAAGAACGACAAAGATAAATTCCAAGTCAACCTCGACGTGCAACATTTCAAACCTGAGGAGATCTCAGTTAAGACTGCCGACGGCTACATTGTAGTGGAAGGAAAGCATGAAGAGAAGAAAGATCAACATGGCTACATTTCTCGCCAATTTACACGTCGGTATGCCTTGCCCGAAGGTTGTACCCCGGAGACTGTGGAGTCCAGGCTGTCTTCTGATGGTGTGCTGACTGTGACTGCCCCGCGCAAGGTGCCACAGGCTATCCAGGGTGAACGCCAGGTTACCATCACTCAGACCGGGCCTGTTCGCAAGGAGGTAAAGGATCAAGCAAATGGAGATAAAGCTCAGTAATTTCCCACCGATAAGTCATAATTCATTCCGTTTTGTATCTGTCTAAGACTGATTACTTTTATTTTAGTTTCTAATAAAGTATAATTTTAATTTGAAAGTTGTGGTTTCATTTTTACTCTCGATTATGATAAAATGTTATTTAATAACATCTAAATAAGACAAACATAACTACTAATGATATCTAACTTAGTTTTAATATGTAAAATTTCTAAAGAGTTTATTTGTTTACAACAAAACAACTAATTAGGTAGTATAGCAAATTAATAATCTGTTAAAAACATCCATCATTAAAAATGTAGACTTATGCATTTTTAAATTAAAAGCAGATTTGGGCTAATTTGTATACCGTACCTGTCATAATAATATATGCTCGCTGATTTTGATGAAAAAACCTATTAGTATATTCGACTGGCAGGTAAATTTTATATTTTTAGGTACTTTTGATACTTACTGTAAATACGCTTTATATTTGATCCATAATATACAAAAATTTTTAGTAGGTATATTATTTTTACGAAGATAGTAGATACGCACCCCGAATTTGGTCTAGAGAACAAACACTGCTGTCTGCTGGTATAGGATACTTATACGCATACGTAAAACAGTTTTGTTTTTTTTTAATTCTACCCTACTTGTATTTTTAAAGTATTTACATATATCGACATTAAATAATGTGCTGTTTATTTCATTACACTTCTATTAAAAATTTTGTATGTATATTTGTTACTCCTTTAGTAACAAACATGTGATGGATACCTATGTTTAAAATTTTAGTACCTAGACTGACCTGTCAGACTATTTAGGGAACCTAAAAACTGGTTCCGAGGCGAAAGATAAGCAGCTAGTAAATAAAATACCCATTTTTCCTGTACTTGGGTTAAAAAATCGGGAAATAAAATTAATTTATTCACCTAGGATGGGTACCTACCTACGTACATATCTAATACTAGCAACTCACCCTCGCTTCGCTCGGAATCGTCCCGAGGTACCTTTTGACGGCTAGTGTGGAATAGATAAAACTATATATACATAGGTATAATGAGTTTTATATCTCTTAAGAAATTATTGATTCCCCATACAAACTTCCACACCCCTTTTCAACCCCCTTAAGGATGATTGCCGAGGTAAAAGCTATCCTATGTCTTTCCCAGGGTCTCAATCTATCTCCATACCAATTTTCATCTAAATCAGTTCAGCCACTTATTCGCGAAAACGTAACAAACAAACTGGTAAGCATCGCGTTTATAATATTAGTAAGTACATATAATATGTATTATTATGGATGAAATAATAAAACGTATTTACAGTATCGAAAACTTTTAGAAGTCGAAAGAGGAAGTTAAAATTGCTAACATCTGTTCTCACAATTAAAACGAAATTCACCACATTTAGGGTGTGTCTATTGAATTTTATTCCCCCCATCTTTATGCGCGCGCATACTAAAATTATTCTTTCGTAAATATTGTAAGATATTGATAATATTTCAAATACATTTAATTTAAATCGTGCCACGAATTTGTAACAATAAATCAATATATAATATTTCTTATATGGTTTTAATTCTGTTTGATTTGAAACAATCTTTTGTTCTAATATAAGTCCCTTTTCCCTATTGATTAAAGATAAAGATTAAAGACTAGCGATTTATCCCGACTTCGCTCGCGTGCGCCGCGGATTAGCGGAACCCTAATTCTTTTTCTGATATAAAAGTAGCCTAAGTTACTTATTATTACGTCAGCTATCTGCCAGTGAAAGTGCGGTCAAAATCTGTCCAGCCGTTTTGGAGATTAGCCCGAACAAACAAACTGATAGACAGAAAGAAGTATAGTATATAATTTCATTTGCATTTAGTCATTACAAACTTATTTATCTATAATCTATATAGATAACACATGAGCACTTAGGTATATTATAGATGGGATATTTTCGAATTCACAAAAAGACTGAGATGAAGTAGAGACTAGCGTACTTAATACGAGTACGTAAATATTTTTTTTTTGTAATAGTTTTTATAATAGCAGTACTTTAAAGTACTCTGCCGTGTCACCTAAAATGGAGAAGATCCAAGGGAGATTGGTCGGTAAACTAAGATAATAATTGCACCTCTTAATCTGACATTCCACGATGACCACTACCAGTTTTAATTTTTTAAGCTTTTATAGAGCAATTAACTTTATGCTATACCAAAAACTTTGGGACTGTACACTTATATATAAAAAATATGGGTGCGTATAAACTGTAACCTCAATTTACACGCGGTTGAAGTAAAACTTATTTGGCAAGTATCGAAATTAAATTAAAACAAATCAATAATTAAATAAAGCTTATTAGGCATAATACAATTGTATATTTATAGAATATCATATACGGAAAGAATATTTATACTAATATTATTATATGGTATTCTCTGGATCTACTTAACCGATTTAGATGAAATTTACTATGAAGATAGTTTGAGACCCTGGGAAGGATATAGAATACTTTTTATCCCGGAAATCATCCCTTAAGGGGGTAAAAAAGGGGGATGAATTTCAAAGTTTGTATTGCGAAGCAAGCTAGGGACGAACCCGAGATATTATATTTGTTAGACAATAACAACGGTTACCATGGCAACATGGCAATATTATAATTATTCTATCTCATTCTCTCGCCGGCTTAATCTCTTTTTAGTGTCGCATTTTCTTTTCATCGAGTTTCAAATAACAACCATTCAGAAGAAGTTTCACTTTAAAAAGTTATTCTATATGAAAAAGTTTATTACAACATACACACACACTTTGTTTATATTAACTGGACTAATGCTTTAGAGGACTTGTTTCGTCTGCCACGATTGTCTAACATGTATTAAGTTACATTTACAATACTTTCATTACATGGCTTACTTTCAGAATACATTTCCTGACCACAACACGATGTGGTCGGTTTTTTTCGAACAATGAGTGTTTTTGATCTTTGAGCTAAACATACACATTATATATTACAAACTGTAATTTTACTTTTACCAATAAATAGTGTATAATGGTGTAAATGATGAAGCCTGAACGAGAATTTATTTAATGCATATTAATATGTCTGGTCCGTTCGTGTGTGAATAACGGATTTGTCCTTAAAACAAAATCTGATCGATGGCCATACTAAATCCAATGGACTTTATAGTAATAAACACTCTTTAATGTTAAGTATGCTATTAAACAACTGTATTTTAAAGTAGTTATACAACTATTGCGTGACGCGAAGCACGTTTTTAAGATTTTAGAAATAATTTTACAGTGTAAATTGATAAACAATGCTTGAATTTCAAAAACAATATATTTTTAAGCAGGTGAATATTTGACATTGTTTATTTTATGTAATAATAGCGTTTTCCTGCGGCTCCGCCCGCATAGTACATTAATCACCAACATATCATGTTCTAAAACCTTCTCCGAAAAACGCTGCATCTTATGGTATGGGTATTATTCCGATCGGTTCAGTAGTTATCGCAGTATAACCGAACAAAAAAATGGCTCTCCATTTATTACTCGTAGTATAGATAATATAGTATCAATATCATAAACTACTAGAAAGAGCTTCGTTAGTTTAAACTTTTAATGACGCTGTTTTGCCCCAAGTTTTAACTCTTCCCCATTTAATATTACAATATTATCAACAAGTTTAACATTAGGTGTTGAGAATTTTATTAATTTTGTATTTTTATTATTTAATAATAAATTATTTGAATCAAACCTTTAAGAGTGTCGGCGACGGAAAACTTATCTTCGAGTAACGTGTGTATTAATATAGGGACAATGTCATTTTAGCGTATTATGAATAATTGTTGTAAATATGAAATCTCATTCTTATTAGATTTATTATGTTAAAATAAGTTCTAATTAGTGTAATAAGGTTAGTTTAGAGTATTTTTTGCTTATTTGAATCATATAAGACTATTTAACATTAATTTGAAAGGAATAGGTACGTAAGTAAAATGTTAGCATATAATTACGTAACTTGAAAATGAGATTTTTTGTTTCTTGCAATAGCATAATAGTTTATGTTTTAAATAATAGATTTTATTATAAAACTTATAATAAAACAAGAATTAGGTCGATAGGACTATCCGTTCAAAAGTTATAAGGGAAAATGTATAGTAAAAATGTAGCAACCTAGAAATTTAGATATTTTTGTTTTAAGACTTTTTAATTAATTATTATATATTGAATATTATGTTTTAATATTGTATAATAGTATGTAAGGCATGTAAATAAATAAATATGTGTAAGGTGTTTTACTGAAAACATAAAATAAAAGGACTCTCAAGGTTTCGGTTTAGGGAAATTTTACTCGAAAAATGAGCTCAAAGTACGCGGCTCTCTGTAAGGTATTAACGGGCCAAATAAAAGGCGAGCCATTTCTCGATTCGAGTCAGTCGCAAGACAGCCACCGAAGAGGCAACAACTAAAAGGAAAAGGAAGAACCGAAACCAAGAGAGAAAAAAGGAAAAAATTGTGTTTTTATTTCATCGCCTCTAAGTATAGTCTCCTGTCAACGAAGAAACCCTAGTGGATCGGGACCCAAGCTACGCATTCAGGGGTGCGTGGTGGCGTACATTACCAGCGAACGGACATACTGCCGTGTACGCCAAGAACGTCTGGGAGATTGTCCCAGGTCGACCTCCGGGTACTAGACATACCCTGGTTCTGGTCGTCCGAAACAGTTGGTCCTTCGAGCCGGATCCCTGCTAGAAGAAGTTCAGAAGAAACAGAAGATTGCGTTCAAGATGCCGGTAACCAGGTCGCAGAAGGATGCCCCCTCACGTCCCGGGTCCCGTCCTTCAGATAGGGACGCGACAGATGGAACGTCGGGATCAGAAGGGGTCACGTCAGCGTCGGCGTCATCGGGAACTGCAACTACATCGAACACTTCTTCGGGTACCACGACCACGGAGGGCACCACAGTGACGGAGACTACGGTTACGACTGCAACTACGGCGGCGTCTATGGAAGGCAACAAAGAAG